ATATATATATATATATATATATATGTATATATATATATATACACACACACACACATTACTAGTCAAAAAATGTTGAACAGTATTTTTAATGTTTTTTAAAGAATTCTCTTCTGCACCAAGCCTGCATTTATTTTATCCAAAATACAGCAAAAGAAGTAATATTGTGACATATTTTTACTATGTAAAATAACTTTCTGTTTGAATATATTTTAAAATATGATTTCAAAGCTGAATTTTCAGCATTTTCCGCTATAGAATAAAAAAATTAAAAAGGTAATTGCGACTTTTTTTTTTTTTTTTTGCGACTCAGGATTTTGTGCAATTCTGAGAAAAAGAAGTCAGAATTGCAAGAAAAGAAAAATAATTGTGAGATATAAACTCAGAATTGTGAGTTTTAAAGCCACAACTACCTTTAATTTTTATTCTGTGGTGGATACAAGCTTCCATAATTTTGCATTCTTTCCTAATTTAATATAGATTTTTATTTTGTATTATATTATTAGCATAACAGCTTGAGTGACATTTCAGATTCTTTAAAAAAAAAAAAAAAAATTTTTTATATTTTGCTTTTAGGCAAGACACCACAGGTGAATAGGGTACAACAGATCCCACCAAACTTATCAAGGTGTTTAATCCGAGTATATTAAGTTGTTTTGTATTACAAGGTTTCTGAAATGTTATGATTAAATATGCACAATGAAGCATTCTCTGATTAAATATGCACCAATTTGCATACATTTCTAGTGCAATGGATAAAGTCAGGTTCGTTGTATTTTATTTATTTATTTATTTATTTATGCACTGTGAGATGCATAAGGTTTTCTACATAGATAAAGTGTAGCAAATAGATGAAGTGTAATTTAAATGTGTATTTTGCATATTTTCTTTCCACTAGTCTGAGAAAAGACATGTTATGGAAGCAAAATAGTCTAAAATCTCAAAAATGTCCGATGCATGAAAAAAGCAATGGTTTTTCTGTAGTGTCTGACAGCAACATCTTGAAGAACATCTTGTGCTCCATTGGAAGCAAGAACATCTGACCATCTGTACAAAGAGTCACATGATCGATGTCAAATTTGCATATTTGATTAGTGACCTTGAAATAGTGCAGAAATGATTTATTATTCGTAGTACAAAAATGATGTGATGTAAAACGTATGGCATAGCTAGTTTTAGAGCATGGGTATGGGAAGGGCATGACGATAGCTATGCTAAATTTAGTTGTATTTC